GAATTGGTGACCTTAAAACGGCTTTATGAGCAATACCAGAAAAGGAAGACAGCAGACCAGGACTGAGAAATACAGCCCAAAACTGGAATATTGGCGAAATTTGATCGTTTACTTCGAGCATCAAATATATATATATATATCTATATGTATATATATATATACATATATAGATGCATATATATACATGCATGTATATATTATATATATACATATATACATGTATATGCCTGTGTGTACATATGTATGTAGATATTATGTGTACACAATATTTGAACAATATGTACATTTTTACTTATTTATTCGAAGCACGTGTGGCGCAGTGGTTAGAGGTGCTCTGCAATACACACGTGGTTGATTAATCGACTGTCGATGGTGATAACATTCCTAGGGCCCACTAAACCTGTCATCCCTACGTGATCGGCAGATTGATATCAGACTTGTCTAAGAGACCAGCAGCACAGGCTTGAAACATCAATAGACTACCACGAGTCATTGTAAAAAGCAGATATGCGTTCAATCACCTCAAACGATGCCTAATGAAGGCCAATGCATGGCGTGTCCCTCAAGTATTGATGTATGCCAAGAACATAATAATTTATCCCTTATACATACATATGTCTTCATTCTAATTTCACACGACTCGTATCTCATTTTCATTGTGTGGATCCCAGTACTTCGAGCATTCGATTCGTCTCTTCGCAATCACCGCTTGCTTGAGGATTTCGCCTTATCTTGAACGCTGTTGTATACTGATAAAGCAGATTTTCTTGCAATCTCGAGGATGGCGTGGCTGAGGCTTTCCTTAGGGCGTTAGTTAAATGATTACCGGAAACTGTTGAGAGGGGATCAATCCTGCACTGAACATCAATAACCACTCAGCCATCAACCCCTTTGCTCCCCCACGGCTCCTCTCCACTCCTCATATTTGGTTAGATTGTTCAAATGGATAGACAAGAGAAACAACTTGATCAGGTCCTAGGAAATTATTGACAGCATTGAGAGCGTATGTAGTGCAGTGGTTAGAGGTGCTCTGCGTTGCACGAAATCAATCGTTCGATCTCGCTCTCACGGATCATCAAGCCATCCAATTTTCCGAAGTCTGTAAATTGGTACTAAACTGGTCCCAGATTAGTCTGGAAGGATAATCAGAATTAACTCGATTCAGCGATAGGCCACCGCGGTCATTGTAAAGGCCAGATATGCATTCAATCCCCTCAGACAAAGTAACAATTTGAAGGTAATTGCACGGCGCTTTTTTCAGGGATTGATCAACGCAGAGAGCTTTGATCTTTATTCAATCATATACATATGTAAGTTTGTACATTATATATATGCATATATGTACATTTATATTCTTACATAAACGTTTGATTATATATATATATATATATATATATATTTTTTTTTAGTTTCTGCATTGACTGGTGATGGAGTAGAACTATTACGACAGCAATCGAAGGACCTGTCTTTGAGAAAACTCTGCCAGCACGATGAAATGGCCGTCTCTACGATGGTCGCTTTATTTAAAATTTAGCCGTTTTAACACTTCTCTTGACAATATTTCCACGATTTTGCTACCTATGAAACCACTGAACATAGTATGTGGTAGTCTTTCACTGAAATCTATGATCACATTCTAAAACTGCATTTGCCTTGATTTTATAATTAATTTGCGCAACTAATTAAGCACAAGTATATGCGTGTGGAGGAAATCATGCAGCATCAAAGTATCACAAAAAGCTCAATTTTTCGGAAACAAAGATAAAAAACGTAGTTGAAATTTGAAAATCGTGCTCCGCTTGTGAAAACAATCAGCAGACGTCCACGGAGGGTTAATTCTATGGGGATCGTAGACCCCACCTACTCTCTAAATCCTAGCGTGACAACACTGGACGGTCTGCTCCACCTCCTCTGTATTCAGTGTGTTCTCACGCTGCGAGTAAGAGATGTAGAGGAGGTAGAGCACATCGTTCACTGTTGCTATGTTGGAAGTTAAAGATTTGAAGGAGGTAGGTCCACGGCGGTCGCAAAAAGGTTGAGCAAACGGATTTTTGTCTTGCAAAACACGATTTTTCTCGCGGTGTTATTGGAGTTTGTGAATACCAAATCAAGATTCAGGTTTCGTACAGTTTCTTAGAAATTTAATTCAGACAAGTGGATGTGCTTTGTCATCTGAGAAAATTGTAAGCACAGTTAAACTTTTTGACGAAACTGCTTTTTTGAGAAAGCGAAACGAAACTATATAGCTGAAAACATGAGAGGTATATAAGAAACTTTACTTAGTCACATCTATCGCATAGACGACTTACGGTATCCCTTCAATATTAACTTTCTCTGGAGGCAGAGCTTTTACTACAAAATTGACTATATTTTGTTATACCTTTCCTTCGAGTGCTTTATTAAGACCACGCTCAAATTTCAATAGATCCTTTCATTATTATTTGAGCCAACATGTCATGTGGTCTGGTAAGGGCTCTTGTACAGCCCGAGACACGTGTTTCGTCCTTACAGACTCATCAGCCGGGCAGAACCCGTCGTCTGTCGATCTTTTTACAGTCAGTTCTCTCGGGAGCGTTACACTCCTTATAGAGAGTTGTCGACGACGTACGTTTTACACTCTATGTCAAGCGAAATTTTCACCTAACACAGAGTGTTTTCGCACTCGATTGCTAGCTGGCTGGTATATAAAACGATCGACAGACGACGGGTTCTGCCCGGCTGATGAGTCTGTAAGGACGAAACACGTGTCTCGGGCTGTACAAGAGCCTTACCAGACCACATGACACGTTGGCTCGAATAATAATGAAAGGATATATTTTGTTAGTTGATCAAGTTTTCAAGATTTTCGACATAGTAGAAGCATATTCAAGCATAATCTTTATATCAATGAACATCGTCATGTAATTCTGTAAAAGCTCCATTTGTTCATTCGTTTTCCTATTGGAAACATTGGCTCTAAACCAATCGAATGAAATCGGTATGTGCTTTGAGTCCTCGAAAATCGTCTTGTAGGGAAGTTTATAAATTTCAGTGGTTTCAATCGCACTCAACAAATTTAGTGTGGGCTAGTTATGGTGGGATTGCTAATAGGACTGTAGAATTTCAAAACCCTTATGCATTCCACAGATGGCAGAACCAGCAGCGGAAACTCACGATGGGATAGTACTACGAAGCCCTGGCTGACAATATCAATTGATGCAAATTGGTTTCGATCGCTGCTTGTTAATGACAATGTCTGATTAGGATCACTAACTCAAACACGCCTTACCCTAAGTAACCGATATGAGCTATCAGGTCGTTCTAAGATCAGTGGCTGGTTTCAGCCTAACTTTTCGCTTGCAAGTATTCAAGTTCTTAAAAGTTCTGCTAACGGAAAGAAAGACTATCAAAATCTAGACCTTTTTCCTTAACGAAGAACAAGTTTATTCGTATTGGTTGCATGGAGTTCTGCACTTCAAGGATAAATCCTGGAAGGCAGTTTTGGCTCGCCTTGGTTTAAAAAGAGTTTTTACTCAGATAGTTATCGAGATGCATGAAGAAGTGGTAGTCATTATACGAGAGGTTTGGCAAGTATGGTGAAAGAAATAGACCTCATTTTTTGTCCGTTCAACTTCTAAGGCATCGATGATGTAATGTGTTTTTTTCTTTTCATTCTTCAGGTTTGGCCTCGCTGACTTGACCCATGCGTGTCACAGCTCTCCAACTTTTTGGTTGATTTAATTAGAATTGCTCCTATGTTACGATCTCTTCACTCTTATTTAAGAGCATGTGATATATGAAATCACCGGCACCATCAAATGAAACAAAACATACATTTGAAGGAGTTTCCTCAGAAAGTGATGGGACGCTTCTTTGCGGTCCAACCACTCAGCCGACCGTCACCGGTTGTCAGAGATTTTAATTTCTTGTCCTGCGTTACAGTATAGTCAAGAAACAAGTCTTTCTGGTTGTGCATTAGATGCGTTGACGATATCTCAGAGCGGTAGTTTCTTTCATGTGATTCGGTTTGGGCATCACCACCTGTTGAGTATCTGCGACTTTCTAAATTTTTTTCGGCATAGACCGAGACAGTTTAGGCGCTCATAAAGACTTTTCTCAACTTCTTCAACAGTTGTGTATGTATCTGCTCCTACAGGAGCCTTCAATTCATCGATTTAAGCGTCAGAAGGTCACCCTTAACCTGCCTCATTTTTACGGTCGCATCCATCACATCGTACTTCTTCGGAGCAATATTGCATGGTGCATTCCTTAATACATTCCTCACATCTTAATGACGTTTCTAAATATTTACACTTCACCACTTTGATTTTGAGTTTCCAGTGAAGTTGTCCAAATAACTCTTATAACATCTTGATTTCTTCTTTCGCTTACTTATTCGATCCCTCTCACAGTTTTTCTTTCCAGTGAGCGGATTCCAATACTTCTATCATGCAGTTCGTTCTTCGTCTTCTTCTTCAATGTTATGGAATACTGACTGAGCACGAACTCTTTCAATCTAGAAGATAGTCTGGCCGTGGCGTTCCACAAAGCGTTCATTGTTGACTGCCAGAAAGCGTTGGGTAGAAGGAGGAATGGTGATCACCTCGCGCTGCGAATCACAACACTCGGCCACAGCCTTCTCTCCTCCCCAAAAAAAAGTTTCTGTACAGTAGTATAGTGGCAATAAAGACTGACATTCATCAAGTGAAAGCGTGTTAATTACGAAGCTGAAGAAGCTAATGTAGTTTGCTAACGCTTCTGAAAGCTTCTGCCAGCTGGATGCTTTCTCTTGGACTTGAAAAAAATATCGGCGTGGTATTTGATTAATTTTACTGTCTCAGAATGCACGAAACATTTGTTTCCTCCATGTCTGGATCACAGTTCATCTTATAGCCTGAAAAGAATCTAACGTTATCACGTGGAACTTGGTTTCCTTTACTAACTGAACATCTTATGCAATTCTACTTGTTTAGATGCGTTAGTATTGATAACCAAAAAAAAAACTATCGCCTAGTAGCGTAGCTCGCATGGCCTAATGGATAAAGCGTCCGATTTTGAATCAGAAAATTGCCGGTTCGAGTCCGGTCGTGTGCTTCATTTTTTCCAGAACGCCTAGTATTCTGATGTCCAATAGTCGGCCTGGATATGCGGTGTGATTTTAGTAGCACTATTACCGTATCGACCAAGGCAGTGTTTGTTCGAGTCAATTAATGTCAGTTTCGAGAGCTTTATGAGGCTGCCGGTGTCAGAGAGTGGCTTTGCGTACCACCTGTATCACCTGTCGCGCGGCTGATTTTTGAGTGACTCAAAAGGACACCAACAACACTTCCATTTTCCCTATCATATGCAAGAGTAGACATCGGACCATCAACTTTGTGGTCTTCTAGAGGAGCGCTTCACATCTGAGGAGTCCAATCGGTAATGGCTCGCGCTCATTGGTTGTCGTTGAGCCGTATACGTATTCTGCCCATCTTATTTTCGTTAGCTTGGCGTGTAGAACAGCGTCTTCGATCGTCCATCGTTCAGAAGGTCAGAACTTCGGATGTTCCTCTCATTTTCAAAATATGGAAAACTTCTAGCATCGACCTTTCGACTACACGCCCAAACGCTGCAAGTGATTTTTTTACCCTGCTTACGTGGCGACCTGGTTTGTGCTGCGAACGTTAGAGCAGGGCTAACCGTCAAGTCGAAAAGATAGAAAAGGGATCGAATGCTCTTTATCCTCCTCACTACGATCATTCTGAGGCATTATTACTTCAAAAATTTCGGTTGTATCAGTCTTTTTTTGAACTGATGTCATTCGCTATACACGAAGTTTTCTAGGACTCTTAATAATCATTCAGAAGCTTAAATCTTTGGCCACAGATAAACATAGCCGTTTTTTCAATCCATAGTTGAAAACAAGTTGCATCCCACATGTCTAATGAGTCAGGACATCGATCGGTCGTCCGCTGCCCAGTCCGTGGGTTAACAGGTAAACGAGCCTGCCAGATACGTAAAACTTGGTTTCATTTTCTTTCCTACACTGCGGATACGGAAACGGTTTTTTTTTTATAATGTAAGGGCAGCACTGAAATCCGCGAAACATATGCTTTTAGACTACTAGTAATTTAGAGAAAAAGCTCTGTTCGACGACGTGTAAAACACAAATGTTTTTTCCTGCTACAGCGCTGTCAATAAAGCTTTTCTAAAGACAAACATAATTTTGAATCCTTTGAGACTTATGCTATCGAAAGAATACAAGTACTCTAAGGAACGAGTTTTGTCCAGCGAAATATAAGCGAGATAAGAAAAAAAGTCGCGCGGTTTGCTATTTCAACGAAATCGAAATTGTTTTTTTGAGTCCCATCGACTGGTGAGGTTGTAGAACTAATACGGCGTGTTTGAAAGACCTGTCCTATGGAAAGTAATATGGCGGTAGAATGTTGCCACAAGAGTTGAATCATTCAAAATTTTGTCGTTTCGATACGTCTTAGTCACATTGTTATCACAGTTTTTGCCAAAAGGACGGGCGAAAAGTTTTTTTTTGGATATTTCAGCAGTAAAAAAATACTGTATAAGCAAATAAATTCATTCAGTTAAAAGAGTGGTTACGAGCGCGTGGCTGAGACTTTTCCCTACTGTAAAGACCACACGGAGTAAACCACTCAGTTGAGGTACAGCGAGTTTGACAGTCGAATGCCTTTATCCTAAAGACCTGGAAGCACTTCTTGACAGATAGCAGTCGTTGAGCAAGCCGAACGCGCAGGACCCCAGTCTTGCTGGAGCGTAAATTTGACGGCGCCAAAGCGTTGAGTACTCCAAGGCTCCAATACGCCGCGCCATAAAACTTGCTACTAATGGCTGGTAGAGTAGATTTTGACGTTTCCGCTGATGAAGACCAACCGTGTTTTCAGTGGCGCAAATGCCTACCCAGACCATCGCAGAGACCGGAAAATAGCTGCAGCCTATGATTTTTGCTACTGCAGACTTCTGCCGATCCTTCTTAGGAAGTTGACCTTGATCCTGACGATTGTGGGGTTATTTGAAAGTGAATTTTCTCGTCCGTGAGAAGCACCTTCGACAAACGAGCACCAGCGATTAGACGAATCATTTGACGATTCCTCGAATACCGTTCTTCGTTCAACTTTTTCTTCAGAAAACGAACATGAGAGGTCTTCGGACTTCGCGGCTCCAGTTTCTTTTTGACAATGTTTCGGAGACTGCGTTTGCTGATCCCGCGCTTCCCGAGCCATTTTGCGCATCGAAAGCTCCGGATTTGCTGAACTTGGCAATGGATCTTTTGAATGTTTTCCGGAGTAGACGAGTTGATTGGAAGACCTTCTCGAGAACGGTCATCAGTCCCTCTAGTCTCTTTGAGACGTTTCACGGGTCACTAAACACTTGCTGGTTTGAAACTGGTCGGCTTCAACAATATCGGCCGTTTTCATTTCCTTCTTGTGCAATTCAACTATCTTTTATGTTGTCTACCACTCATGTATTTTAATTATCGGATAATTATTATTTAACTCATGTATTTTAATTATCGGATAACTATCGTTTACTGTTGGAAACCATCGTGTCCACAAGGACCGAAAGTTTTGCGCGGGTCCTGTGCAACATCGTAGCAAAATTATGCGTTGCATTTTGATATGACCTATTTTGACCTTCATAGTCGAATATGAACTGCCAAGTTAAGATCGTCCATACTATTCGTCATTTACCTATAATGAAATGTTAGCAACTCTGCCAAGCTCATCAATGTTTTATCTCAATTTCAACCCATTACGTTGATTTTGAGAGGTACTATTTCGAAAAAGTCGGCATTTGAGTGTTGTATATTTGACTCAACTTCAGGTACCCTGAGTTACGAGCAGAACTCGGAGTCTGGCGTGGTTTGCAACTTACGAATACCTTTCCCGGAGACTAACATGTTACAACACTACACCGTCGGTACCCTCACTTTTTTCTTTCATCCATGTTCAACCAGAGCATTGCTATCAGCAATCATCCGCCTTGGGGAATCGTCCTAGAAGTATAGATCGGAATCAAACTAAGATATGTTAAAGTTATTGTCAACGTCGCTGTTGAAGACTTGTTGGTGCAACATCTGAGCCTCTGTAAAGGATAACTGCAGGTTTTAAGCCGCATCATATTCCGTGCTTTGCCCTTATCTCAACATTCTTGTAGTAACGTTTCACTTCGCACTTACCATGGAATTAAGAAATGAAATCTTTGACGAGCTCTTCATTCCTTTCGTCAGTCGGATTTTTGTAAACGTCAGTAATATGAAATTGAGTTCATAGCAGACACCTAATTCTAGTTCGAATATTGTTATTTTTCTTTCGCTATATTAATTTCTAAGGCGTCGAAAATAGGTCTATGAAGGTCATATTTGATTTAGTGAGCTAATTATTAGTTGAATATGCTATAGAACGTGTCCACCTCTTTGAAATATAACTGAAGTAGCATTCAAAGATTCGCCGCATTTATCTTTGACCTGCAGAAGTCCGATATTATTTGCAGTGTTCATTCTTCGTGTTCCTTTCTTTCTTCCAAACGCGTCGCTGTCTCATCCATTCTCTTTTGGTGGTGCCTTGACTATGTATCATGTATCTGTCTAAACTTTAAGCGAAATAACAACATGACAAATTGAACTTTTTGTGTTTTCACTATATTTTACGAATAACACTATCTGAGTTTGCTTTTTATATCTTTTTGACTGCATTCTTCTATATTAAACTAATTGACCAGGGGAAATTTACTAGCGCAGACAGTCAAAAGATATTTCATTAAATATAGCTGACTTATTACTCATCTACAAGTTTACACTGCTCAAGCTCGAAAAATATTTGATATCGTTGAAGCAGGTACCGGTTTTTCTACTTTCTCCATAGCTATGTTTTTCTTGGGCCTCTCCAAAGCCTTCGCTCATTTTTGCAAGCAATTTTAGGCCACTGATTAAGAAATAACTGCTTTCCGACCATTAAAAACTATAATTTGGTGTCATATTAGCTTTACTTTTACTCCTCAATACTTGAAAAGCACTGTTGGACATTGTTTGCAGGAGCTATTAATTCAAACATTGAAGCACAAAATTATTATCAATAATACCAAAATGATATGGTAGATCATCTGGTAACAAGGATTGCGCATTAGTAAAAGCCTCTTTCGAAGCCATCAAATATCAGAGCAATGGTTATTGTAATGGAGCGGATATGGTCAACTTATGAGCGCAATGGTTGATTAGAACAGGACATTTTTCTTAATGTGGAACTCTGGAACCAGACCATACATACCAGTAAAGCCGGTGAATTGACAAATTCAGTTATCTACGGTGTGAAAAAGAAGGTGGAAATAACGACTTGCTACTTTGTTACTTTGTCAACTTGGCAGTGGTCTTATTTCCTGCGAAGCACACATTTGTTTTAACAGCCTTTATTGAATATCAGTAATGCAGTACAATACAACAGCACAGTAATGCAATACAACAGTACAATATTGCAGTGGTTAACGTTTTGACGAATCTCGTCTTCTTTTTCAGAGACTGGAAAGGTCAACCTGATCTGAAGTTTGCCCATCAAATACATTCAAAACCCCGCCGATTAAGCGTAAAAACAATTTTTGGATTACCTAGTTAAAAGCTCCGTTCTAGAACAGTAACCGTCAAGACATTCTAGATCTTCCAATTATTGGGTGGCGCCGTGACCGAGTGATTATGATGGTCGTCATAGCGCGCGTGGAGCCGCGAGCTCTATCCCCCAAACTCTCTCCGGTGGTCAACAACAATGCCCAATGGTACGCCACAGCCAGGCTATCGATCAACCAGTATTCTACGCCGTTCAAGAAGAGAACGAAGAATAGATTAAATGCTAGAAGTACTGGATCCGCACAGTGAAGAAACACTGTGATGATGGATCAAATTAAGAATAAAGAAGAAAATATAATTATATATTGAATATCAGCCACTCAAAGTTAGTGCATAAGTAAGACTGTGCCTGACTCAGATCGCGAAGATAAGTCTGTGGTATGGTGCGATGTCACACGTGATTATGAGGCACTCTTCTTACTGTAAGCCTTTTACAAAAGTAGTAATATGAACAGCAAAGAGGATT